TTAATTTTTTGTTTCCGGAGCCAAAGGAAATTCGTTGAAAAGATCGTATAACTCAAACTTAACGTTCAGATCGACCTCGAGCATATACCCATAGTGACCCATTGTTGGTTCTTCAACCCATTTAAAGTTTGAAAATGGTAAACATTGACTTGTGGCCCATCCGTATAAGTTATTTGCATCCAAATAAAGTATGTACGATGTTGGAGACTCGGGTCGTAATCAGACAAGTGCTCGTTATTGGCTTTGGCGTAACGTTTACCACCTACGCTAGAGATGCCTCCTCGTTAAGCTTTTTCAAAAAGCAAGTGTTTGTCAGTGTCTGTTAATAGCTCGAGTTGAGCTGGACTGTGTTTTAACAACGCACCCCCAAAAAAGTCCTGGAGACGTGTAGTAATTTGAGGGATCGAGGCTATAATTGCCATAGCACGTATTTCTAAAATTTTGAAACACGTCTGCTAAATGCAAAGTGTCTGATTTGATTTAAAACGTGGTGCTCACTTTTTGGGCAGGGGCATATTCTTCATCAGTGACACTTATCTGTTTAGTGAGCTGTAATTTTTCTTGAGGCGGAAGTTCCGTTTCAGTGAATTTTTCAAACGAGTCCAAATATTCGTACGGGTACAATCCTTTTGTGTAGGTAAACCTTTTTAATCGAGCTTAGTGATGTGATCGAATTTGTCCTTTGGACACACTTTGACAATGTTATCCAACAACGATGCCATAAAATGAGTCTATAATCGCATACATGAAACGCATTTTTCACTATTTTTAGGAATGCATGTAATCAAGTCTGTGTAAAGATTGCCTTCAAACGTGGCCGCTTCTTGCAAAATGAGATGCGCGTCATAGTTGTGGAGTATTACAAAAATCGGTGTTTCGTCGGGCATTATCTGGAGTTGTAATGAAAAGTTGGTAGTTTCGTTATTGTAGCGATAGTATATAGGTCAATACCAAAAACCACTTCTCATTACGTTACAGGTTCTTCTCTAACGAGATTATTTGAATCAAAAAGGTCCATATATAACGTTTAGGACTTTACAATTTTGATTCGTGACAATCAGTTGCAATATATATTTCTTGTTTACCATCGTTTTTATAACTTCATTTGCTAAAGTTATTTATTTAAAGTAATATCACTTTAGGTCTACAAAAATAACAATTGGACAAAAAAGGGCATCGTGGCAATCTGGACATCTCTGCTTTGTTTTCTCGTGCGGGAAAACGGAACGACACTTCGGACATTTGTATTTATCAATGCCATGTTTACAATTAAGACATTTGCAACGTTTTGCTCTACACGGATAGCAATACGTGATGTATTCCCCGCTCTTTACTTTAAGTTTGAATTCACTGAGGGGTTTTTCTCTTTTGCGTTGTTGACAACATTTAGTTGTTGAAATATTTATTTAATAATAAACTGTATTATTAATGTAACATTTGATTCAAGTGATAATATTAATAATCGAAAGTTCTTTAAATATTAATGAGGTAAAACTTACCGCGTTATCTTTATCACAAGCAAACACTGTGGGCATAAGACAGCGAGTTGTTATTTATGGGGTGTGAGTTGTGAGTTGTCCCAAGGTACTGCGAGTTGTGCGTGCGTTTTAGGGGGTGGGTTGTCCCAAGGTGCTGTGAGTTGTGCGAGTTGTGGGTGCGTTTTAGGGTGGGTTGGGTAGGTATAGGAGGTAGAGGGTGAGTGTTTCACTTTTATTTTTTAGAGATGTCAATTTTTTAGTCAGGAGGGTATAGGAGGAAAATTTGGTCTTGAAACACCATTTACAATACTACAAACAGTCCTATGGGCATTTCCCCGTCGTGCAAAGAAAAACAGCTCTTCGTGATCAAAGGTTAGCTTACGCGGCGTAACGTTGTTTCAGTAGCGCTGTTGCGCAATCGCGCTAGTGCATTTCGATCGGGCTCACCAACAGCAGTGGCTTCCATGCGGCCATACAAACGCAAAGAGCATGACTGAAATCAGTCAGACTTTCCCCTGCCAACTGGGTTCTACCGTGCAGAGCACCAGTGAGAGACTGAACAGACTCTCCGGCACAACAAAGCCACTAATTTAGGGAGCGTCCTTCGTTCCTCCAGTGGGCTATAAAGAACCTCTTTTATTGCGATTCCACCCAAAAAGTCAGGGGGGCTGCATATACCTTTTCCTCCTCGGAGAGGCCAACCAGGCGCACATATGTTTCCAGATCACGAAGCCACCCATCTGGTGTCGGGTCACCCGACCTCTTTGGGGGCCCCTACATTTTGCAAGTCCGCATGACAGGTTTAACAGCGAATCCGTTCGCAAGAAAGTACAGACCTAATGAATTACTCATTACTGATCTCCCTACATGAATAATAAGTCACTTGATGACGTCACCATGACGTCATTGTTGTAAAACCATCTGTGGATAACGGCCCTTCATTGGTACAAGTCTGATGAAGATCCAAAGTTGCAAAAGCACTAAAGTCGTGAAAACAATAAACGTGCACAAACAAAGGGATTTTTGAGCTGAAGAAGAAGAGGAAGAATCCAAAACTAGAGCTCATCTGTCAGTTTGCCAACAAAACAGGGGGCCTTTTCGCAGTAGTTTGCTAATTTGAACAACCAATCTACTTCACAAACCGGACAGCATAATTATTTCATCACAACCATTCGGGTCCAAGGTATCAACCGAATCAGGCATACACGTCTGGAAATAGCATGATTTACAGAGTTCATGTACAATGTAATTTGACTCCTCATCTGATAACGTCACTCTCTCATCTGGTAAATATTCGTGTAGAACACTTCCTTTTCTTCTTATCTGCAAAATTTCAACTCGATTGGATATGTATTTCCGGAGATATATAGGACTTTAAATAATGCACCTTTAATGTCGCGTGACTTGTCATCTGATGACATCATCATCACCTGAGGTCAATAGCCACCTTAATCACTTCCCTTTCAAGATAACTGCAAAGTTTGAACCTATTTGGACCCCAGTGGATATTGAGATTTATGAAGTGCACTTTTGATGTCACGTGGCTTGTAATTTGATGATGACGTCATCATCACATCATATCAATATTTAACCCAAGCACCACCTTTCCAAGATATAAGCAAGGTTTCAACCTAATCAGACATGCATTCAAGAGAAATAATGCTTGGAAGAGTGCACCTTTATTGTCACATGACATGATCATCTTTCTCATGATCTCATCATCACGTGACGTCAGTTTTTCTCTAAAACACTTCCTTTTCTACGTACATGCCAAACTTCAACCCAAAGGACATACACTTCAGGAGATAAAGTAGTTTAAAGAATGCACCTCTAATGTCACGTTACTCGTCTGCTAATGAAATTGGCATCAAATGGCCAATCCCCATTCATAAATCTTCCTTTCCGAACTATCTGCAAGGTTTTAACCCAATGAGACATGTACAATGCAAAAAACAATACGAAACATTATTGTAATCGCGGAAAGAGCGCAGATTAGAGATTTTTAAAAAAAAGTCCCTTTTGGCGGTCCATATAATGCGATCTGCTCTCAACACCTGAGCTCGGGAATTTGGCAACTCCTGAGTATATGCCTTACGCACTGCCTGATGCCTATGTTACAGGCAGGTATTACGCGTCCGCGCACACAGTAGCCAATGCACATTATTCGAACGGAAAGTTCGAGTTTGCAAATAATGTAAGGGCTTTTTTGTCGTCGGTACTTCATCTGTGTGATACGTACACCACTTATGCAGTTGACTTCAATGTTATAGCTATCACCTAATGAACAATTTGTGCTTAAATCTGTTACAGTTGATTTTTTACCGAGTTTTGAAGAATAAAAGGACTTTTTATTATAATTTCCGGTCTGATGCAGTTATCGGCCCCAAATTTCACACATGTGTCAAGTGGGTAAAGATCATCAACCACATCAATTCTCAGCTGATTCCAACAAATTTCATCAGAGACATGTATTAAATATTCATTCTTCAGAATTGAGGGCACTTGACAATTACGTGACGTCATCAGTAGATATTTTGAAAAAACAACTATGCCCCATCGACAAACACCGTTGAAAGCAAATGGATACCCATTACCACTTGTAAACAATAAGCCCACTTCCGGTTTCGACCGGAAGGAAGGGTCACATGATTTGACCCACACAAGATGAATTGAAGACCAAATTTCACTCTGCCACTTACCGGTTGATTTTGTATGGATTTTGTATGGATCTTTAAATATTGAAAAAATAATAACAAATCACTTGATAACGTCATCGCGACATAATTATTTTAGTATATTTATTTTTGTTCTTTCGTTGGTGTAACTTTGATTATATTTCGATATTGTTGAAAAACTAGAAAGTCAATGGAAAGAATTAAATATTGAAACGTCAATAATAAATAAGTTGATGACGTCATCATGACGTCGTTGTGCAAGAACCATTTAGGCATAAGAGTCCTTCTTTCGTATATGTTTAGTGAAAATCCAAAGTTGCTTAGGTACAAAGTTGAGAGTGGAAGAAACGTGCATAAACTAAATGAGCAAAATTACCAAAAAGCCAAAAACAGAAAGAAAAGAATACTTTTAGCAAAATTGCGAAAATGACAATTGATCTTTCCCAGTGGTTGCACAAAGTCTGTATTTATTATGACAGTTTCTCCCTAAAAACAAGGCCGGTTTAAGCTCCCTAATGGCCTTTAGGCACCAATGTCCTGTACGCCATTCTCTTCTTTATTTCGTTGCGCCTGTCAATGCTATAGCATCATGTCTCATGTTCATGATGACAAGTACATGTCCTAAGCTGCTTATATAAGCTGGTTTGAAGCTTTTCCAATACATGCATTGAAAATTCGAAGAGGAATTCGACAGCTTTTGAAAACTTTGCGGTTTTTGGATTTTTGTACGCTGAAAGGCTGGCAATTTTTTTTCATAGAGGCAGCCAGTTTTGGTAAGTTACCAGCGTTGTAACTGTGTGCCTATAATCTCACCCTATTAACAGTGATCAAGATTAAAATTTCTTACCAGAAAATCCAAATCCCTTCGGAGCGGCCCCTTGGATCTGAGATGATCACTATTCTTGTTGTACTCGAACAGCGCACCAGCAGCCACAAACTCCGGCAAACCTCGGCGCCTCCGACCACCGTTCAAGATATAGGTTTTGTCAGAACTGCGGCGAAGTGCTGTGGAATTAATGTCCATGTCAGCATGAACAGTTAAAGTAAAGTCACACCGACTGTTACCGATTGAAATTGGATTTTTTTACTAATTTGGAAAGAAGCTTCAACAACGAATTATATATAAACCCAAAGATATCAAACCCCTCTCCCAATGCTACTGCGAAGTGTAATGGAGAAGATCTCGATTCCTGCATCGGATGTTAGTCACCTGCCCATTTACCACTTTGCCCAAACCGCTTCATCTACGCGCCACTCCACCACCACCATGAGTACCAGCTGAGCCCTAATTGTTTATTATTCAGTACATTATCCTACAAGCATCAACACCTTTTAGTTTTACAGTTCTATCAAAATGTTTGTTGACAACTGGAAGAGCCCACATCTTTATTTACTGCCACATAACATTTACATGTTAGTCTTCAGAGTGGCTTGGCGGTACCGTTGAATTTTTATCTACAGGGGAATAAAAGCGGCTGCATGTGTGGCTTTGGCTCATGAAATAGAAGGATACTTCTTAACTTGGTGACTGGCATTAAACTGGAGTAGTAGTGTGACTGTGGGTTGCTTCGTATTTCAAGTCCTATTAAGCAGTGGGGCGTGATCGACTTGGAATCGAGTCAACCCCTCGCCAATTCCAATTTGACTCTGACCAATTCAGCAACTTTAATATGCCCCATGCAAGATTTGAAATGGAAGGAGCAATTGAAGGTAACAAGAGTAAATAAACTTTTTAATGAAATAAAATAATTTCATAGGCTGGAAGCACGATATGATATTGATAAACAATGGTCCGGTGATGAGATTAAGCATGGTTGTGTGTATTAACCAACGTGATTACGATGTGGTTTTGTTTGACGTAGTGTGGGTGCCATCCCTAAATGTTTATGATTTGCACTTTTGGCATTCTTTTGGACTCATTTAAAGGTGGTTTACTGATGTGCAAATAAAACGCGTTGCAGCTAATGGCTTTGCTTTCCCACAGAAAAACCATCCATCGCAGCTGACAGTACCCCAACGAGCGGGAACGAGAGAGGACGTGTTTTTACATGGAAACTGCAGTCCGTCCTTCGGTGAGACTTCAAGTAGTCCATTATTCTAACCGTAGTTTACGTTTCCTTACACTGCCCTGCGCAAAGACGCCATACACCAATACGTGCGTTTACATGGAATGCATGACGTGATGCGCACACCCCGAAAAAAAAACCGCCTAGATATACATAGAAATTAGAGCACTAAGTGCTCATTCTCCGCGCGGAGAAAAATTGATAACGTCCCAGGCGCAGACATTTTGAATCCGTGTGTGTACTTGTAGAACATTCAAAATCAGAAACATTGAATTTCAAATTATGAATTCTAAATGCAACACGCAAGTACAAATATAGATATCAGAAGGATAAAAAAAAGATGGGAAGCGAGTGCCCGCAAGCCATTGCTTGTGCAGAGAATTTTCCAGTTGTGCCTGGACGCGCTAAAACGTCACGTGAACAGGGCAGCGTGCAACGGGCAAAACGCATTGAAGAAAAATGAAGTCAAGATAAAAACTGTACAAAAAGTCTACATTCCATATTTTTGGTCTTTCTGCATTCATTATAAGCAGCCAATACTGCCATTTAATATATAAAATGATACAGATATAGGCCTATACCGCAATATATAAAATAGGGCCCAGTGCTTGTCCTTTGTTATTACACAAGCAGACGTACACAGAAAAAAATGTTAAACGGAGAGCCAAATGTAAGGTTCTTCTTAAGCCTTTACGAATACCGTAAAATCCCGCTCTGTACAAGGAACAACAACAAATGTAACACGAGTGATTCGATAAGCACTAGATATCATTGGCAGGCTTGGGACTGTAATTTTGGGTGCTGTATTTTGCAAACAAAGTTGAATTGATACCATTTTCTCTGGCCTTTTTACGGCTGAGTAATCCAGTAATAAGTTTATACGTTACAGCTAAGACTGACTAAGTACGTTATCGCCGGCATAGGTCGTTTCTAGTTGAATTTGTTCAGCATGCTGAAAGTACGTGTATTTTCGAGCGATTTTAAGTAGTGTAATAACTTAACGTCTGTTTCGGCCTTGTTGTTGCGCTTTGTCAAGTTTTGTTGTTTATTCCCACTGGGAAGTGTGATAGTGGTATTTTTATTCATTATGCAGTGCAGAAAATAATGTCACACCCTGCCTCAAGTTTTTCATCATATCTCATTGTTCAGTTGCAGAAATTCCAGGAAGACATAAATCTAGGACATTTTTTCCCAATTTTGTTAGCATTTGTTAATATGCACAATGTTGGCGTCACCCTTAGGCCTTCTTATTAGGAACATTTGCAGGTCAGAAAATTGGCTTGTATTGCAACAACAAACAAAACAAACCTTCACTTAAAGGATTTTTTGGGTGGTGGTGGTGGTATAGTACTAGCTGTTTTGACAACTTTGGTGCAGACAATGGGAAACATTTGCATTAGTAAACATGATATGGCCAAATCAGTTGAATATAGCGCACTGGTATACAAAAGAAAATATTACCAGCCATACCAGGGGTCTAGAACTCCAGAATTGTCAAATAGATAAAAGCTCAGAAGTCTCTATTGCCCTTAAAGTGGTGGCACATGGAGTCATCGTAATCCATAAGGTGATGCAAAGGGGTTTACCTTTTCATGCACTCACCTAAAGAGACTTCCCCAAATTTCACAGGGGCAATACCATGCTTAATTAAGAACAAGGTCGACTATCTAAAGCAAAAGCTCCCTGCCATCTCTGGATATGAAACCATCGGATCTTGATACACAAGAGGAAAGGTTCGAGTGAAGCTGAACAGTTGACAGCCCATGCTGGACAAGACCTCACCATGTTCATACTTGAAGTGATCAGTAGTTGTAAATTGCTTGTCCAAAAGTCATTGTGACAAACCTATATATCCAGATGGGACAACTTTTCAGTTAAACTTTCCTTACTCTTTAGCTTCTAAAGGCCTTTTAGGCCTACGTATTACCGTAAGCCTTTGACTTTTGAAAAACTTGAAAAAAGAACCTTGCTTCTATTCTCAGTGAAATAATTTAATTCTCGTTTTACTTGAAGTCAATATACAATGTATTTACTTTAACTTGAAATAAATATTTGCCCTGCCTCCCCCCCCAAAACCCAGTAACCCCATTATTGTATCATGTAAATGTGGGACATCAGTTTTATTGAGACTCTGTTTGTCTTTTATTTGTTTTTAAGTGTTCAACCAGTATGTATTATAAACTATCGATAAAAACAAGGTGTCATCAATCAAATTTTTCAAAAGTTTGACCTCCTTATCCAGAATATCCAAAAAAAATCATACATCTAACAAAACACGATTCACCCCTCAGCTCTGGCTGCCGGACTAGTGTGGGAGGTACGGGTTACTGAAACCAAACCAACCGTTTTGCTGACCAGAGTTTGACGGAGAAGTTGTTACGGCCTATAATGTAACAATCGGCCAATAATGTAATAACCCAAAACCGGCCCATAATATAATAACACGGAGGCAGATCATGCAATGATGTAGATTTGCTTGTTTTTCTTAGATTGCTTTGGGGGATTTAGGTTTTCTTCGAGTTATCCCTGCAGATCGAACTTATGTTGACTTATTTCTTTTGAAGTGACCATTTTTCTTTTTTAAATCAAATTATACGTGAATATTGACATCATCTCGTCCTAAGGTGTGTATAACACCCAGATTAATTATGATGACTTCAAACATAGAGCTTGTTCTTTTATTAAGTATTGATTTCAATTAAACAGTGCACCTTTGATGTCACATGGCTTTTCTCCCGATGGCATCATCACCACGAGTTTAATAATCTTCTACATTGAGACCCTTTCTTGTTATCCAATTACAATGGAGCATCATATCAATGCCAGGGGATATAGGGCTTTGAGGAGTTCACCTTTAATTTTATGTGACTTGTCACCTGAAAACGTCATCATCATATCAGGTTAACATTCGTCTAAATCACTTCCCTTTCAAGGTATATGCAAGGTTTGAACCCAATTGGATATACATGTACACTTTAGGAGTTAATGTCAGGTGACTTGTCTCCCGATGACATCGTCATCACATGAGGTCTATATTTGCCTAAAGCATTTCCCCTCTAAGATATCAGCAGGCTTTTAACCCAATCACACATCCACTTAATGAAAAATAGCCTTGGAAGACGGGACCTTGATTGTCGTGTGATATAATCATCTGATGACATCATCATCACATCAGGTTAATTTCGTCTGAAACCCTTCCCGTTTTAAATACCTGTCAAGTTTCAAGCAAATCAGACATGTACTTCAGGAGACATAGTACTTTAAAGTATGCACCTTTAATTTCACGTGACTCGTCTGTTGATGTCATCACATGAGGTCATTTCATCGTTTATAAACCCTCCCTTCCGAACTACCTGAAGGTTTCAACCCAATCACACATGTGCAATACGAAATACAATACAAAACATTAAACTTATCGTGGAAAGAGCAATTGCCAGGTTCCTAGTATATGCCCTACCCACTGTGCGCTGTTCATGTGACTGGGAAGATTTTGTGCGTCAACGGGGTCATACAGTAGCCAATGCAAAGTATGCAAATGCATTTTCGATTTGGCAATTAAAATTGTAAGGGTTTTTTTTCGACGGCGTACATCTGTGTAAAACAGTACACCAATTATGCACTTCATGCGACGAACACAATATTTTAGCTGTCATCTAATTAACAATTCACGCTTATATTTATTACGGTTGATTTTTTCCCAAATTTTCAATAATAAACGTACAATTTATTACTTCTTCCCCTATGATGACGTCATCGACCCCAATTTCACACCCATGTTAATTGGGTGAAGATCAACATCAACTTCGCAACAGACATCTATTAAAAATTCATTATTCAGAATTTTCAACCTGTTTCAAAGTTGCAAAAAGCTAAGAAAAAAGAACAAAACAATGCCTTTTTCGCAAAATGCAAAAGAAGCCAAAAACTAAGGGTTCTGTT